TGCTCCAGGTGTTTGCAGGCAGGGAAATGGGAGCAGATTTGAGTGTGCTCTACAGATCATTTCCATAATAATTTAAGAGCATTCATCTTGAGTTTGAGCACTAAGTTAGTGATTTTACAACCTTCTGAGCCTTCCCACCTGTGCTTTGGCACCATCCGACCTGGAAGCTCTCCCAAAACAGGGTAGCAGAGGGAATTCAAGCACCCTGTGAGTGTAAATCTGTTCTTCTCTTGCGTGTGGATGAAAGACCAGCTCACCACTGTGAAGAACTTCTTAAAGTCCCTCCTGGGTATTAATTCAAGCCTCCAATTGCAGTGTGCTCATGTGGATATAGTGACAGATCGTTATCAGCATGGGTTTTAAGGATGTGGTCAAGTTAAAACTGAAGGCATGTGCTCTGAAGTATTTACTGGTTAGTAGAAGACCCAAATTGGTACTCAGGTGATAAATTGATGAAACATTTCTCAGGCAGTGACAGAAGAATTTGTGGGGTCTTTCATGGACATGGTAGTGGCATTTTTAAAAATAGCAGGCAAAATAGTCTTCATTTCAGAATAAGAAGAAACATATTTAATATATTGCAGTTTTCCAGATGATTACTTAAGACTTAATTAAGAGGAACAATTTTAGCTCACTTAATCCTATTTTTATAAAAATGCAGTATGGAATGTTAGCAATATTGCTAGTGAATAAAATATCAATTATAATATTCCCAGAAATATTTATCTTGATGCTTATTATGTACACTTTTAAATATATTAAAATAAACATTGTAAATGCAATAGTCCATCGATGAAGAGATGGTTTTTTTTCTCTGCCAAAAGAGTGCAGGAAGTCCGTGCTGAGTTCAAACAGTTGAAGCCAACAAAATAAAGACCCCTTTCAGAAGTAAACGCTAGTATTTGGGGCTAGGAAGGCACAATAAATTAAAAGGGTGGTTTGTGACAGTGTCCAGTACTATGCGAAATCTTTAGGAAGATATTTCTTTGTCACTGAGTAACTACTGCGATTTCCCTTTATTTCAGATAATGCTTCAGCCTCACACATGATGGCAGAAGGGGGTGAAAACAGAGTTCATTGCTATTTCTCCTGAATAATATTGGCTTTTATTCCATCTGAAAATACCTATTTAGCTTTTTTTTGTTATTATTATTGCAAGTACTGGCTTTAGAATCTGAAGTGAGATATACATTGAAATAAATTTGCATTGGAATTCCACAAACCTTTCTGCTTCTTCATCAGTGTGATTCAAGGGACACGGCCTACATCTGTGCTCAATCAAACAGGGCCATGTTGGCCAATATAATCTAATCGTTTGACATTTTTATAGTAATTCATTGAGATTAAAGAGAGATGACTACATTAATATCTTGATGCAGCTAGATAGTAGTTGAGATAAAACTGGTGTGCCAAATTGCTGAAAGGCCCTTAAAGTCTCTTGCAGATTTTTAACTATTTGTGCCATAGAAAAGGGAATAGACTTCAATATAATATAATAAAGAGAAAAAATAGTACAATCTATAATACTAAGTATTATAACAAAGGACATTATCATGAATTTTCTAGGAATCTTCTCTTCACCAATCATTTAAAATTATATTTCTCAATAATTGAGATGAGAATGATTGTTAATGTTCATGACTTTGTTTTCTTGGATAATAATTTTCACTAAGGTCATAATTAAACAGAAATGTTCTAGCCAT